GGTGTGGTATGTGTGTGTGCGTGTGGTATGTGTGTGTGCTGTGTGTATGTGTGTGTGGTCGTGTGTATGTGTGTAATATGTGTGTATGTGTGTGGTGCGTGTGGTGTGTATGTGTGTGCGTGTGTGTATTGTGCGTGTGTGTAATGTTGTGCGTGTGTGTGATCGTGGTGTATATGTGTGGTGCATTGTGTGTGCGTGTGTGTGAGTGGCTGTGGCGCGCGAGCGTGTGCTTGCTTGGCTTGCCGTGTCGTGGTGTGTTGTGTGCGTGTGTATGTGTGTGTGGCGTGTGTATTGTGGTGTGTGCGGTGTATGTGTGTGTGCGTGTGTAATTGTGTGTGTGGGCGTGTGTATGTGTGTGTGAGTGTGTATGTGTGTGTGCGTGTTATGTGGTGTGTGCGTGTGTTATGTGTGTGTGCGTGTGTATGTGTGTTGTGCGTGTGTATGTGTTGGTGTGCGTGTGTAGTGTGTGTGTGCGTGTGTATGTGTGTGTGCGTGTGTAGTGTGTGTGCGTGTGTATGGTGTATGCGTGTGTATGTGTGTGTGCGTGTTATGTGTGTCGTGGCGTGTGTATGTGTGTGTGGTGTGTATGTGGTGTGTGGCGTGGTGTATGTGTGTGTAATATGTGTTATGTGTGTGTGCGGTGTGGTGTATGTGTGTGCGTGTGTGTATGTGTGCGTGTGTGTATGTGTGGGGCAGTGTGTGTGTAGGTGGTGTGTAGGTGTGTGTGTATGTGTGTGTGCATGTGTGTGTGTGCGTGTGTGTGAGTGCTTTGCGCCGGAGCGCGTGTGCTTGCTTGCTTGCTTGCTTGCGTGTGTGTGTGTGTGTGGTGCGTGTGTATGTGTGTGGTGTGTATGTGGTGTGTGGGCGTGTGTATGTGTGTGTGTGCTGTGTGTGTGTGGTGTGTATGCGTGTGTATGTTGTGTGTGCGTGTGTATGTGTGTGTGCGTGTTGTATGTGTGTGTGCGTGTGTATGTTGTGTGTGCGTGTTTATGTGTGTGGCGTGTGTATGTGTGTGTGTTATGTGTGTGTTGTGTATGTGTGTGTGCGTGTGTAATGTGTGTCTGGCGGTGTGTGTATGTGTGTGTGGCGTGTGTGTGTGTATGTGCGTGTGCGTGTGTGTGTGTATGAGTGTGCGGTGTGTGTTGTGCGTGTGTGTGTGTATGTGTGTGTGCGTGTGTGTGTATGTGTCTGCGTGTGTGTATGTGGTGCGTGTGTGTATGTGTGCATGTGTGTATGTGTGGCGTGTGTGTGTTAGTGTGTGGTATGTGTGTGTGCATGTGTGTGTGCGTGTGTGTGAGTGCTTGCGCGCGAGCGTGTGCTTGCTGCTTGCTTGCTTGCTTGCGTGTGTGGTGTGTGTGTGGTGTGTTTGTGTGTGGTGTGTGTGTGTGTGTTGTTGTGTGTGTGTGTGTGTGTGTGTGTGTGTGTGGTGTGCATAAGTATGTGTGCTTGCGTGTACGTGTTGTGTGTGCCTGTGCGCGCACGAATCTTCTCTCAAACTACAAGGCCAACACACAATCCACGCTGCGGCCGAGTGGCAGTTGCCGCCATGACTGCCTCAACTGCGAACCATCTAATCTCTAACCATCTAAAGTTGCGGCCAATCTTCGCGCCGAGATAGCCAAACGTGGCTGAGGCCAGCCGTGTCGAGTGCCGAGGCTGCGTCGTTACTACAAGGCCAACATCTTTTCTGTTCGGGTAACGGCATTTCCCGGATCTTGCTGAAGTGCGTTATACTGATCGTAAATTAAGGAGTCTGTGCTCACTCTTCCTCGCGAGGAGAAGGAAGAGCGAATATTCCAATAAATAGGGCACGCGAGAAGAAAAAGGACAGCGCGCCAAAGCAAGCATCCAACTTAGATAAAATGAACGTTATCAAAGGAGGAAATAGCTTTGTTAGGCCTTAAATGAATCGTGAGCATCCGTTTTCTATGTTACTTCCTCCCTGCAGGATCATGAGCGGTCAAGGACAAACACCTGGCAAGCCTCGCACTCCGCTTCCTCGTCAGCCTCAGCTTTCTTTCCTGTTTTGAATAATCAACTCAAGATAAATCCTTATACACGTGCCCTCAATGTTTAAAACCTTGGAGCGAAATGCAGCACATTTTTCAGACGACGCACAAGACAAGCTGCCCCGGCGTCCTGTGAGCATCCTGCTGAGAGCGCCACCTGATAACTACACAGGAATATGCTGACGGCGAAGACACGTATCTAACCTTGACGTCAGTAAAAAATATAAACAGCTAATAAAGACCTCTACGCTTTGCTTGGCTTGCTCCCATCTTCACGATATACTCATCACACGTCGGGGAGTAGTTTGGGGATCGCCCACTGCATGAACAACAGTCTTTGTTATCGCTGCCGTACACAGGAAGCGGGCATAAATGTACTCTGCCTACCGCTTTGTTTTACTTTCATTTCATACTATTTCGTTTAAACTATGGCGTATGACATGGGTATACAGAGACACAGATGTGTATGAGATGACTAGTGACGAGAGAGTTAGAGAGAGCAGTGAGAGAGAGAAGAGAGTGAGAGAGAGTGAGAGATTGAGTGAGAGATAGTGAGCAGTTGAGATGAGAGGTGAGGGAGGATAGTGAAGAGAGTGAGAGAGAGAGAGAGAGAGAGAGAGAGAGAGAGAGCGAGAGAGAGAGAGAGAGAGAGAGAGAGAGAGAGAGAGAGAGAGAGAGAGAGGGTGCTGGGGAGGTGAGGGGGGAGGGAGAGGTGAAGGATGGGCGGGAGAGGGAGCGGCGAGAGGAAGAGGGAGAGGGGAGAGGGAGAGAGGAGATGGAGGAGAGAGAGAGAGAGAGAGAGAGAGAGAGAGAGAGAGAGAGAGAGAGAAGAGAGAGAGGAGAGAGAGAGAGAGAGAGAGAGAATGAGAGAGAGAGAGAGAGAGAGAGAGAGAGAGAAAGAGGGGAGAGGGAGAGGGGGAGGGGAGGGAGGGAGAGGAGAGAGGGAGAGGGGAGAGGGAGAGGGGAGAGGGAACGAGAGGAGAACGAGAACGAGAGAGAGAGAGAGAAGAGGGAGATGGGAGAGAGAGAGAGAGAGAGGGAGAAGAGACAAGAAGAGAGAGAGAGAGAGAGACGAGAGAGAGAGAGAGAGAGAGGAGAGAGAGAGAGAGAGAGAGAGAGAGAGAGAGAGAGAAGAGAGAGAGAGAGAGAGAGAGAGAGAGGAAAAAAAATTATCTTTTATATATCAAAGTAAGTCAAGACTTTCCAATTGAACCAGAATGCAATGATCTCATGTTCTGCCACATATCATTTATGCTGACCAAACAATTTCTAGAGCAGCCCTGTATATCATTAATACCAAAAGAATTCAACCATAACTTTATGGAGCTGTGAGCCAAATTTATTTCCCATTTCCATAATACAGCCATACATTTCACACTTAGACTACATAATATTTGTTTTATCATTCAATTTGTTTACTCAATAAAGAAAACAATCAAACTGCATTTAAGGAGGTACTCAAGTCTAGCTCTTAAAATATCAGTCACTGTTTAATACATCCAGGAGAAAATATACTAATTCTTATGAATCACCTTTATTTTGGCTGAATTAGCTCATACATGTACATTTATACAATTTATATACAGACATTCCAGAAATGTGAGTTTACAAAGATGCAAATATAATATTTTGAAGAAATTCACATAAATGTTATGAATATGCCAATTATGCCAATTACATTTATTTCTTTTCTTTTACAAAAAGCATATGCCATCAAACAATTAATTTTCTGCTGCAAATATTGGGGAATCTTAATCATCAGTCTATAACCACACACTATTGATTCTCTTCTGTATACCCAAGCCCAGAAAAACACATACATTCCACAATCGAACAGCTTTACTAACTAATCATGCTTGGAAAAATTACTTGCATATCTGCAAAGAGAATCTATGGTTGTAAACTTTCTCTAGAAAGAAATTTGAGAGAGTATCTGATCAATATCAATAGATATCAGATCTCTAATCTCTAATCTAATGCAGTGACATTATAATAGACTTTTATCATCTATATGGAAGGGAACCCTCCAATGGCACCATCATAAAAACATGAGTCCCTTTCATTTAGCGCTGAAAATATTTAATGCAACATAAATTGAAATTTCTTTTAAGTATATAATATAATCCCATAACCACAGTTATAATCTCAATCTCAATATCAATAGATACTAAACATCCAAAGGTCCAAAATGTTTTCATTATATATCTGAGCACATAGTAAATCTCTAAATCATTTATATGCATTAATTTGACAAAAATGAGATGGGAGACAATAATACCACTAGTTATCCAATTCCTTTTCAAAAGTTTTACAAATATTTGAAATGAAAAATCTAAGAAATAAAATCTCCACCTACAAGTTTTAGTGTTCCTTTGTAAACTATATTAGTTATATCTAAATATTAATCTATTAATAACTTCAAGACTTGAATCCTTTCTGCTCAATTTGTAATGTTGAACTTCTTATCACAAAGTTTTATCATATCATTATTACCCTTATGGTCTTTCCCCTCAGAATTGCTTTTCAGAAATATTTATGTGGTCCCTTGCATATTTCCAATATTCAATATACCAATATTAATGTGTTTTTCCTTATATTTGTAACCAGTCACTAAAACTTTTTCTTTGAAGTCTGTTGATATATAAATCACACCTTTATTTATCACAAGACCCTTGGGATTGCAGAGCTGTAACAGTTTCTAGGTGTATCATGATACTTTTCTAGTTTGAAAAAGTGATTATCACTGCACTTCAAACAAAGAAATAATACATATCAAAAGTCATTGCTCCTCTATGCAATGATCAACATTTATTTATTGAAACTCATGCAACTAAAAACTAATCTCTACCTACAAAATCAACACCAAACAGTATTCAGAACGAAATAAAAAGCCCCACACTCCACAAGAAGCCTTTGTTGTGTTTAGAATTTACGTCAGTGAAACACACACAAAAAATAATATACATTGCAACAAAGGTGTTCTTTACTCACCAACAGGTATCACAGACGTCTTGTTCCCAGCCTCCCTCCACCTCGCCTGCCGTACACTGCCGTTGTGCACTCAACTAGCGGAAGTATACGGGTGAATATATGACAGCACTGACCTTCAGCACCAACAATGAACACCGCAGCGCCACGAAACTCCAACAGCCACCAACAAACTACTTTCCGCGACACGTCTTCTGGTCCTGAGCCACTGTCTACGCAACATAGTCTCCCTGTGTGCATCCATACCCATGCCCCGCTGCCTCACTGCTGTCCCTCATGTATCATCCGCAAGCATGAGAGCAAGCATGGTCGCTTTGAGGAAGAGTTATAGGCGAGGAGGAGGGAGGGACAGAGGTTCACCTTGGTCCAAACGCCTCCCACTCAGCCCCATCTGACTCACTCGACGCAACACAAACATGACTGCTGCCGGAGAGGCCTTACCTGGGCCCTTTTATTTTTGTTTCTTGGCTTAGAGGGTTTACTATGCTCGCGGATTTATTTGTTTTCCATTTTTTATATATGTAATGGACTCGTAGCCAAGCAGAAAAATATTCTAATCGTTTGGGGTAATTTAGGATGTTTAAAATGAATCGTTTAAAAAGCAAAGTGGCACCTGCACGTGACGTTGCCAATGGGGAGGGAGCAAATGTCTAAAGTCTCTTCACCTCTTTGTGTACTTCCAGAAACAACATTTCCAGAAATTATAACAATATGCACCGATCAAGGAGTGTTCAAATTATAAACATTGGCTTGAATTAAACATTATGCTGACGAAAGATATTGTGAAACATGAGAAATAAACGTTTATTGTATCATTACAAAGTTTCCATTACTTTGAAGTTTGTGTTTCTATAAAAGTCAGTAAATTAGAAAGCAAAATTAAACAGCATATGTATATGCTGAAAGTCTAATGTCATTATCTTCATATAACTTTATACAAGACCCGGACTTTTTGAAAGTTGATAATTGTCGGATTTTTTCTGTGACCCGAAAAAACACATATGAAATGTTTCTTCTTTTGTAGGACCAGATGACTGTTTTTATACCATCCCTGTATTTTCTCATTTTATTCCAATAGATTTCTGTTAGCAAAGATTAAACTTGCAGTAGTATTTTTCTGAGTATTCAGCATTATCTTTGAGTGTTATTTTGATTATCACTGAATTCCTGTTGTTATCATGTAATTAGAAAAAAAGTGATATTGCTAATGATAACAGTAGACATAGACAATGCAGTAGTATTAGTGTTATTATTAGCAGTAATAGTTATACTAGTAGTAGTAGTAGTAGTAGTAGTAGTAGTAGTAGTAGTAGTAGTAGTAGTAGTAGTAGTAGTAGTAGTAGTAGTAGTAGTAGTAGTAGTAGTAGTAGTAGTAGTGGTGGTGGTGGTGGTGGTGGTAGTATAGTAGTAGTGGTAGTAGTATGATAGTAGTGGTAGTATTATAATAGTGGTGGCAGCAGCAGCAGCAGTAGTAATTGTAGTAGTAGCAGTAGTAGCAGTTTTAGTAGTGGTGGTGGTGGGAGTCAATTTTAGCAGTGATAATTGTACAAAAGAAGGGTAAGGCATGAGAGATACATTATTCATTCAATATACATTCATACTTAACAAATTCACTGTCGCCTTATAAGTATCTGGGGTCAGTTCCAAAGTTAGGGGTTAAATTCTAAAGTTGTAAGAACTGTATCACTCCCAGTTGTAAGCCCTTGTTCCATTCACAATGCTCTATTATTATAATTTTCAATCAAAAGATCTCAAATAAAAAAAATAACAATGACACTAGAATGTTAACAGTTAGGATAGAATATATGTTCTACCTGTTTTACTGTTCTTAATTGACAATATGATGATTATATATGAAATGCTGTCTGCAGTTACAGTGATATTAAGGCTGCAGCACTAGATATGATTTTGCAAGATATATTTCTGTGCCAATTCTTGAAAGAAACGAGCTCTCAAACAATTTTACCCTAAAAGAATAAAAATTGGCTAACTCTGTAATCTGATAATATAATTGTGGGGAGGAGTGTTTTATAGTTTTATGACTATGATTGCCTGAATGTGAAAAATATATTTAATGTGAATTTGTTTTCTTTATCTTATGCATCAATAAGGGTACTTCACAGAGAAAAAAGACAAAAGTTATCTATATACTTATTCATGTATGCACATCATGCACTCACAGGTATATGTACGCAATGTGTAAACACACGCTCGACACACACACACAACACACACGACACACACTTACACGACACACAACACAAACACACTACACAACGCAGGCTCACGCTGCTCGAGGAGCACCTATGAACTCCTTCTACGGTTACTAAGGCAGGACCACGCACAGCACGAGGGCCTACAGCCATCTTGGCCGCCGGACTTTGGGCTATTTAGGGTTTGCCGGAGCACACGCAACGGACGGGCCAACCTTGGCTTGTGCATGCCGACGGCCCGCGACTCAGGATGAGCAAAGGAGCCACAGGAGCCCTCGCCGCCTACATGGATCGTGCACAGGATAACGCGCGGGCGCTACCCAACACAAGCGCCAAAAAACCGCGTGGCGCACACGAATAGTGCGCACGCACATCCCGCTGTCAGTCTTTGGGCACCACACGGGGGCCCACGCCCCACCTCAAAGGGCGGCACAGAATCGGACACACCCCAGTCACACGCCACCCCGCGCGTGTTTTAATTACACGAGCACACAACGATTGACTAGCAGTACAAGGTAAGTACTACACAATCATGGAGGAAAACAGCGTTGCTCCGGGCTCGCACCATGTAACTCCACTGCAGTTTTGTTTTGGTGTAGACTTTAAAACAACATAGATGGCTCTACAAAAAAGCGATCAGACGTGGGCGGCGTCGCTTACGTGCACCGTCACTCTGATTTCCCGGCTTTCCCTTTGATTCTAAGAAAAAAATCTAATTCTATTAATATTGATAGCCCACTGTAACAACACTTGGTTTTCGGGCTTGGTATGTTATTATATATATGTTGTTGACGCGCTATTAAACGAACTGGGGGCACACACACGGGGCATAGTATATACAGAAATAAGGAACTGAGCGCTTAGGTTAGGCTCCCTTGTGACTAATGTTGTGTTTGTCACCTTTCAGCTGATTGATGTGTAAAACATTGACGATTAGGTGATAAACTAGATTACAACGAATAAACGATAAGTAGATCAAGTGTTAATCGAACCCTAGAGTGCGATCTGCGAGCAAATTCAAGCACGCGGAGTGTATCTACCCACAGGACATATTAAGTGGAGTTAAAGGGAAAAGCTGCTCTCGGTGACATTGGGTCCTGGCAGTGTGCGTCTTGTAGTTATGAACGATAGATCGCACTTTTGTGTCCCATCAAATAAGTAGACTCAGCTCTTGGCGAGTAATCATGTCCTCAGTGGTGAATTCATCTGAAGAAGGCATCCGTACGTTGTGATAGCTGCCGAGGTTTTATTTCGCTCAGTTGGGGCAAGCCCATTTAACTGCCATTTTTGAATTAATAAAATGAAAAAAGATTACTAGTACAACCTTGGTCTTGGTGTGGTTCGCGGTATTTTGTATATGTAACATGGAGCGAAAGTCCCAGGGCGCTAGAAGCTTACACTTTTGCATTGCAGGGAAGTAGTAAGTGTTGGCGAGCGAGTGAGCTGCCGGCCGACAAACAGAGATGTGCCATACTTTGGAATAGGCTGCGGCGTGCCCGCCCACCGCGAAGTCGGCGTATGCGAGATGATTACACAGTTGATGAGCGTTGTGGAAGATTAATATCTAGGTACGAAAGCTAGTGGACGGGTGTGGTTCGCGCCTGGTAGATTATGCACGCTCTGGCGATCGCAGTGATGAAGCCGATAGTCTGTTTTGGTTAGGCTCTATCACTTTCGTCGCCCTTGTAGGAAAAAGCCGCAAGTGTAGATGTTCCGTCCCAATATCTTCACGCTGGAATCTGGAATGGCTCGGGATGATAACTAAGGTGAAGAACCGTGAGCACACACTTAGTATTTGACATTCTGTCGCATACGATGCAAAGTCTTGCATTGTAAAGTACTGAGTATTTTCAAGTCCCTTTAGTCGTGTGGATCTCGTTCGTCCTGGGCCGACGACAACTGTCATCATATTGTTGCAACTTTGATTTCATTGGCTCTTTTTTCAGTAGCTGATCATTTGAAATTTTTTGGTATCCGAACAATTTTGTAACTTTTAATTTCTTATTTCCATAACAGCAGCTGTGTCATCATTTTCTGAATGCATATTTTATGTTAAAATATTTTTACATAGTCACTGATATTAAACAAAATACAGACCTCCACATTGTTTTCTGTATTGCTCATACACACCACAACTGCTTGAATAATTATTGCAAACTTTGAGGTATTCTTGGTATATACAATAGACTGGAAAAAAACTGATAGTGGTTAGAGTAAATTCAGTGTGCACAGATGACTAAAACCTAAGTTATTGGATGTATGTTTATGATCAGCAAAAAATATTTTACATTTTATAATGTAAAAATGCAGGTGTAAGTAGTTCCTACATTTACATAATCAGAGATAATGGATTTATGAATCATGTGTTACATGTGGTATACATGAAGCAAAATTACTTCACTGACACAGGGAAGAAATGTATGCAAGACCTGTCCACTGTCATTTTAGTTTTTTTGATTAACATACATGGCTCTACATATGCTTTTTTTGCTGTTAAGGAGGCAGCTGTTAAGCTTGCCGTATCTCATGTTTATCCTATTCCTTGAATTTAATGGAAAGAAAAGGTTTGACTCTTATTACTAGTAATTAATAATAATGTTTATAGTGATAATAATTGCTTTATGAATATAAATAAAACTTTTTTCTCATAAAATTCAAGGACTGAGGTAAACAGATGGCATCAGTTAGACCAAGTAACTCTCTCCTTGGTAAGTAAGCACTTGTGAAGCCTTCTATAAGTTTTTTTTTTTTTTCTAGAAATCTGGGGGCCCATGAGGTTAGGTTCCTTGACGAGTCACTATTTTAGCTATATATGTATAGGCCTTATTTGAAAGTCTCAATTGGCAGCGTGGGGGTGTTGAAAAATCTGCATCACCAAGCTAAACTAATGTAAGCCTAAACTAAACTGACACAACAATATTACAGTGGACAGCACACATACTGAATGCCAATGGGTAAAGGTACTAGAAATATAGCAGAATAATGTAGTCTAAAGAATGTTAAGTCAATGAGTATCCCTACATATTTGTGTTGCTCGCATGTTTAATGATACACCTCACTGCAATCCCAAAATAAAGTGTCAAGCTGAATTCTGAATGCAGTTTCCTACATATTTTTGCATAAATTCAGTTGTGTTTATCTATATCATAAAACAAATACAAAACTCATTTGAAGGAAAATTGTAGA